AAGTAGTAGTAGGGAGCCGGGAAAAAGTCTTGTAGAGGCAGTATATACACGTAATAACGACTGACGGGTTCATGACTTCAAGTAATATCAGGAGAATTTTGTCGATTTCCGAGCAACCTTGTTTTTGCGTCAATTAAGGAAGCAAGGTGTATCCCGCTGCGAGCGAGCTACTTCTGCTCCTTCGATAGCGTTTATAATTCCGCTTAAGTCCTTTAAGTAGCTTAGTATTAACTAATAATTATTTAGTAAATACGTACCCACAGATAAGGCAAATTATTGAAGTATTTCCTGGCAAAGGTTTGTTTGACTTTTCAGGTGCGTTTGTTCAATTTGAAAGATTTGTAAGCATTAGATAACTTTCAAAATGGACATAATACCGGATTCATAGGGATGTTTGCCCAAAAACGCACGACATACCTTTAGCCTGGTACCTATAAAGGCATCCTCACCTCCCCCTCCCTAAACCTCTTCCACGCTCACCAGATCGTGGCTATTCCACGGGATGTTTTGTTTCAAGAGCTCACTGTGTAACCTTTTATTATGCGTTGTGTGCTGTACAACAGTTGCACAAAACGCATGTTGTCACGGGGTTGTCTGTTTATGTGTGTCCGCAACTTGGCAACTTTCTCACGCTTTCGGGTATCATTTGTGGTCTTGTGAAAATTTTGGCGGGCAAATTGTTGTTTCGGGAACCACGGAATCTAGGAAGCTGAAATTTTAGGGTAATGACCTTTTGTCCACGTACGTCCCTGCAAATTTAAATTCAGTGTTCCCGCACGGTTTGTTATCACGGCCCCGTGAAAATTATCTCGAGTACCACGAAAGTTGAATCTGAAATTTTAAGGCGTTGTCCCCTATCAGCGTACGAGTCCCGTAAATTTGGATTCAACCTTCATGCACCCCTGGGTGGCACGCACGGCCCCGTGAAAGTTTTGGTAGGGGAATTATTATCTCGTGAACTGCAAAAATTAGAAAGCTGAAATTGTAGCGTGGCATCCCTTGCCCACGTACAACCTCGCAAATCTTCGGCATCCCCGTAGAAGTTTTGGCGAGAAAAACCATTATCTCAGGAGTCAGGAAAGCTAGGAGGTTGAGAATTTCAAGAGAATGTTTTCTGCCTAAGCAGAGGCTTCACAATTTTGAATTCAATTCCTAAGTGTGCTGAGGTCTCACTTACGACCACGTGAAGGTTTTGTCTCAAAGGTCATTCGGAAGCCAGAAAATCAGGAAATTGAAATTTTGGGAGGATATTCATCCTTCGAGGTTTCAAATTCAGCTTTCACTTACTGATGCGTGAAATTTTTTACTATTTTCCAACATTCCAACTATTTTTGCACAAACCAAAGTGCAAAGCAGTGAAAATCATTAACAGGCAATCATTCGGTGGACGGAATTGCACAAAATACATGATCGCACCGGCTGTTCTGGTGCACGCTGCTACTTATTATCCCAAATGAAGATGTGACAGAGGATTGAACAAAATAGGCATACATGCCAACTAAGCCAAATTATTCGTAATTAATGAACTGGAGGACTAACGAGCTGGTTGGTGGGCATCTAAATTGTTGAGCATATAAATTTTACAGCAAAGAACGAAACTTGATCAGAAAAGAGCGAAATTCGGCCTAGTGGAGTAAATTGACCACATCTGACCTCAGGCGTGAGCTTACGTTTCTTAAACGTGGCGTTTGGCTCGTTTTCAGCACTAGAAATAGCGTTTGGACCGTAGTACATTCAAGAAGATAAATACCACCCGCACATAGAGATCCCGTTGTTAGTGATGATACTA